TTAAAATTTTCCCAAACCATTTCCAGATGCATTTTATTTGTTTGTTTTTATTTGTTTGTCAAGCATGTATGAGAAAACAAGTATAAGTATGAATATAACTTATAAACATATAAGTATAAACAGGTATAAGTATATACATAATAAATGAATACGAATACATGGATAAATGGGAACAGTAGGACAGGGACAGTGGGCACGCTGATGCACATATGCACACCCCCTTAAAGACCTCTTAGGAATGGAGTGAGGTCCATGATAGACAGTTTAAGGTTAAAGTTTTGGGGGTTTGAGGATATAACAACAGAATGAGGTAGTGAGTTCCAGGCATTGACTACTCTGTTGCTGAAGTTATATTTTCTGCAATCGAGTTTGGAGCTGTTTACTTTGAGTTTGTATCTGTTGTTTGTCTATGTGTTATTGTGGTTGAAGATGAAGTAGTCATTGACAGGTAGGATGTTGTAGCAAACAATTTTGTATTTTAGAACCACAACTCCTAGAATTCCAAATCTAAATCTGGTTTAAAGATCAGGGATATAAAAAAAAAATCTAACAGCTGGTCAGCAACTAAGTCCACCTTTGAAAAGTTAGTTGTATTTCAGTATATAGTTATTATTTTAAAATATTTTAAAAATAGGAGTACGATGGCTCAGCAGTTAAAGATATTGAGCTTATCAGCTGGGATAGCCCAGATTCAAGACCTGAACGCTGCATGACAGTGAGTTCTCATGACTTCCCCCAACTCTTGTTCACATAGTAGTTCGAAAGCATACAAATGCGAGTAGATAAATAGGTACCACTTTGGTGGGATGGTAAAAGCATTCTTTGTGCCTCCATGGAAATGAGTAGACAGGAGAAGCTTTATACCTTTAAAAAAAATGCATCTTGACAAATTCTTCCCAAATATATTCACTTCTGATGTGAACTACGTATTGCAACATTCTTGGCATATGTAGCTCAAAACTTTAATCCATATATGGGAAGTCATTAGCTTGGGAGATACTGATGTTTAGACTTGGAAACTAACACAATTTAATATAAGCCTACAGGGCTCTAGCAATGACTATCCTAGGAAGAAAGTTGGAACAGGGCCATATCTGTAGTTGGAAGACTCATAAGCAGCAATGACACATAATCTGCCGAATAGGTCTTTGGATCAACTGATTACAAGGTAGATGAGTTCCTTCTGTTCCTGTTTCTGAAAAGGGATTTTTTTAGGATGAAAAGACTTCTCTGTAAATGTTATTATAGCCTCTCTGTTTTAGGAAAGCACAAACCATTTTTTTCTGCACAATAAAAACCAAAAGCAACTGTTTGGGTGCTTTAACTAATCCTTCATAATAATCAGTGGCAGGTAGCATGCTGCTTTCAAAATGACAATTATAACATTCAAAATTATCACTTTTATGTTCCTCTCAAGGAAGAGGCAAAATGTATTGTTTGTGGGTGGCAAAACCCTGTAATAAAAATATAGGCAACTTATATTTGACTTTATTTTGCAGGGGAACAAAGGGAGAAAAAATAATGACACTCTTTTATTTCTATGTATGTAGATGAAGATGCTTCTTGGAAATATATGATTGAAATGTAGGACCCTTCTGATGCTTACAGCAAATTTAGATGTAAGGGAAAACTGTGGCCAGTTGAAGCTTGGCCATCATTCATTGGGAAAAGCAGAGAGGAAACCCAGCTGAAAAAGATGAATAGGATTTACATTTCAGTGAGGAACATATTCTTGACGTGTGAAAAATCTATTGTGTAAATCTATTTTACTATTAATTTTTGATTCCATCATTTTTCTCCAACGAAGTGAGAAATAGTTTCAGAGACTAGACAACATAGTACTAGAAAAAAGCACAGGGGTGGAATCCAACAGAACTACCAGTTCGGTCATTTATGAAGTTCGGTGATTTACAATGTGCTTCCCTGCATGCTGCCAGCGTGCACCTGTAAATCATCATCAGCATGCTGCGTGCAGAGAAGCAGCCTTTCAAAAAGCCCTTTTTTCCTGCTTTTTTAACTACAGCTGTGCCTCACACAGCAGCTGAAGTTGAAATGATCAAGGAAATAAAGGTCAGGTAAGAGCCCAGGTGGGTGGGTGGGAGGGAAAAAACATTAGCAGACATAGAACCGGTTCTATGTCTGCTGCTCTTCAGAGCTACTGGTTCTACAGAGCCGGACAGAACCAGTAGAATCCCACCCCTGATATTAATGTCCCATTTTAGATCTGCAATATGATTTTGAGATTCTGATTTTCCTAACCTATAAGAATATTAAGAACATTCCAATAAACACACAATTTTAAAAGGATATAAAATCAAAACTCTCTTGCAGAGATTACCATGAAAGGCCTAAATTCAGGCTCAACCCATGAAGTAGACAGATAAACAGACAGATATAAAAAGATATGTAGACTAGTCAGTCATAAATTTTCTTATCTCTTTGGATCATATTACAGAATGTAATTTGTAGAACTGTTTTATGGATCCAGTAGGAGGAAGTTAACAGCTTTTTGTTCATGGGATTATTTAAATGTTATTTTTGCATATTTCTTTACAAGATTTGCTTATTATCCACAACAATTATCATTTTACTGTCATTTAATGCAATAACACTTTCAATACTTTTTTCATGATTTAGATATGATATTCCAACCAGTTTATATATTTTATGTTTTATGTATGTGTATATATACACACACACTATTTAAAATAACATATTAGAAGTAACATGCAAAGTTTAAAATAAAGTGTAAACCATCATTGTCCTAAAGAGGAGCTGGACTTTGGATTAATTTAAAGACAATTCTTCAACACTCAAGGACTGGCTGAGAGTATATTTTAAAATAAAGGGTACACTTTTTGCTTTTTTCAAATAATGTCAACAACTTTAAGCTGATGCCATATAATAATCCTCTACCGGAAAGAGACAAAGCAAAGTACCAGCTACAAACTGGTCTCTTTTTCTCTCTTTGCAACAGAAGGCTCCCATCTGAAGTTTAATGCACATGCCAGTACATGCTTGAGGAAGGGTATTGCTTTGAAGAGAACAGAGAACTAGTTATGCATGTTTATGAGAAAGAACAAAGGTAATAGCTCTGTTGTCTTTGCCAAAATGTAGTAGGAGACTGTACGCTGCCATTCAAGTGAACAACAAAACCACCAATTGTGGGATGGGTCATATAGGAATAGAAAGTAAAAAATGTAAAATTCTGAGGTTCTTGCCTGTTATGGCCTAGATGCTCTTTGACTATAGTGGCTAGAATTTAGGAGAACTACAGTTAAGAAACACTTAGAAGATACCATATTATGAGAGATGGAGTAGTTCTTGAACTCATTAGTTCTTCAAGCAAAAAAATGGTTAAAAAGACATATAGAGAATATTAGAAAACTCAAATTACTGAAATTTAATCTAATTAATCTAAATCTAATTTTTAACATAAACAAACACAAAAACACAAAATAAAAACAGTTGTTCCCTCTTGATCTATGTTACATTTCATAATGTTTAAAGCTACTGTCCACTCGATATTATCAAATCATTGTTAGACTATGATTACAAATTCACATCATCCTTTTCGAGCAAGTCTCAACTTTTACAAAACCAGATTCATATTGTCATTCATTTCACAATAAACAATTATAACCTATCATTACATTGTATTATCTTTACTATCATATTGTATTAATACTATAATGTATTTTATTTCTTTTTTTTCTTATCTAGCCAGTGATAAAATCAATTCCAAATTTTGTAATACTTTTTCTTCTTGCTCTCTAATAGCAAATGTCAATCTTCTCATTTCTGCATAGACTGTATTTCTCATGCAGTATTAGGTAAGCAGGCTGGATGGCTAAATCAATATCCTATCTTTAGATATGCTAGAGGGCACACATAAACAAAATGTCAGCTGGAACTGCAGCATAGGTGTGATGATCCGGAGCATGGCACACAGTCAAATAAGCAATAAGAGTCCCTTTATTATCTCCAACTTTGCCCCCAATGTCCAGGTTACCTTCGGGCTGGAAAAAAACTCTCCCAGGAACAGCCTTTGACTGAAGAAAATTCAGTTCAAAAAAAGGTACACATAAACTGTAACATAAAATCCAAACAAACCAAACTGAAGTAGTTTGGCAGGGCAGGAGCAGGAATTTCAGACTTGAATGCACGGCAAAACTCAGTTGGGAAGATGCCAGGAACACAGATAAGTCATGACGATATAAGATAAAGTCATGTCTGCTCCCAACAGTCTGCTGCACACAGCTTACCTTTTTTATACACTGTTCCCAGCTGCAGCTAATGAAAGGAATCAGGGCCCTTTCCTCCCCTGTAAGCCATGCAACCCACATTGCTCTTCTCAGTTCCTCCCTGAGTGGCCTAGGATGAAGAGGGGGGTGAGCCTGGGTCTTCCTTTGAATTCCCTCTCCCTTGTTCTACCTCTCCACTGTTCTGCCCAGCCGGACTTTGCCCTTCCCCAGTTTCCTCCACAGCCAATGGAGCCACACTCCCACTCCCTGTCAGCTGTTTGGCTTCCTCCTCTGAGTCAGATTCCGGCAGGGGCATGACAATAGGTTTCTTCAGTGTGCTTGCTATCAGCTGCCATAGTAATGGGTAGGGGGGGCCTTGGGTATTTGGGATAGGGAAGTAAGCTGGTATAGCCCTGTGAGAACGGAAAGGGAGGTTTGCACTCATGAATTATGGCGCTGCTGAAGGGAGGTGTTTACAATATGTCAAGGCCAACCATCCGGAGACTCCATATGGGAGAAATACTTGAAGCTTTTCCACATCATACTGGATGTTGATTGGACTCTGTGCTGGACCCTGTGGAGAGGAATTAGGGATGCCTTTCAACCTGCAACTTTCACACATTTTGAATCAGATCTTGCCTTGTTTTCGCTGCTATCGTTTCAAACTTAGGAAAAGTACCTCTTATCTAAAATTGGAGTCTCTTTCTTGAGTTTTGAACGGAGGCAAGCCTGACACAAAAGGAGTTCACACAAATGTAGGAGAGAGTGTTTTTTGTAATTAGAATGTCGACTTTTCTATCTTTCTGTTTTCATACTAAAGACAATGTGATCTTGTTATTGTTTGCAATAGTGCCAAAACGGCACAGAGATTCAGCACACATAAGTCATGCTCTTAGTCTGAAGAGTAGATTTATATAGCTTTTACAAACTATTTTCTGTTTTATCCTGTTTAAACTTTAGTTTATTGGGCTTGTTAAATTAATTGCAAACTACTAGTGACATCAGTTTACCAATCTTTTTCAAAAGAATACTGCACTCTTTATCCAGTGTTTCTTTCAAACTTTTCTCTAGTAATGCCATTTCTTTCAGTTTATCTTTAATAAGCTGCCCTCTACTGATGGCACTCATTGTAACACATTTTATAATGAAGCAGAAGAACTCATTGTGAGTTCTGAAAAATCAACACACTTAGTCCAAACAGACTGAATTTAGGACTACTAGAGATTATTTGTAAAGTTCAAATTAAATTACTTATACCGCGGAGTAGCAGCAATACCATCTCCCCACTTCAGAACATCTGCTTTACTCCTAAATTACAAATAGATCTGATTGTCTTTAAATGAAAGGTAACTTCTGAACTTTTGCAATTATTTCCTTGCAGCTTTATTTAGAAGGTTTCAAGATCTGGAAAGTCTTGGAGATTTTTTTAAAAAAATGTAAATAAGCAGCCATTTAAATTTATAAGATAGAAGTAAAGTCAAAAACAGTACAATCAATATGATTTCCAGTTTGCCATTTTAAGAAGTAACTCAGATACTGCTCTATCTACACGGTCTATTTAGTCAGTGTTCAGAAGATGCAACAAAAGACCAAGTTTTTGTATTTTTTAATGACAGCTTGGAGGATAGCAACAGCAATAGCACTTAGACTTATATAACAGTGCTTCATAGCCCTCTCTAAGCAGTTTACAGAGTCAGCATATTACCCTGGGTCCTCATTTTGCCAACCTCGGAAAGATGGAACGTTGAGTCAACCTTGAGCTGGTGAGAATCGAACTGCTGGAAGTTGGCAGAATTAGCCTACAATACTGCATTCTAACCACTGCACCACCTCAGCTCTTTATCGATATAGCTATTAGGTATGTTCTAGACAGGAATGGCTTAAAGCATTACTGAAAGCTAGCTATGTCTTCAATGGAAAGCTGGTTTTCTTTTTCAGAATGTAGTATTGTTCCTCCACTAAAGTACAAGTAAAACTTCAGATAGAGATATTACTCTGAGATGTGCACAGAATCAACTGCTCCTAAGAAGTACCCTCTGTTGTGTAGTGGGGATGCAACTTATCCTTGCTTAGTCAAAAACACCTCAGAAGAAACTGCTGCTTCACGGACGTCTGTAGTAAGAACATTTGCAAATTTTGCTACATCCTACAGATTACTAGCTTAGTCAGGCTTAATTTATTGGTCAAAAACTGTCATGCTAACGAATAAATTCAAGAGATGTTATATATTATTACTTGGGACTCTAAGTCTTTATTAGAGAGAAACAACTAAAGTTAGGGGGGAAAACTCACCCAGCCTTCTTGAAAAAAGATAGCTATCATATTAGCACTGGTCAGAAATCTCATTATAGACAGAACAGACCGTTTATTAGGATCAGATAATCTTCTGAAAAACTGTTTCACATTTTTCCCTTAAAGAAACTCAGTCAGCTTCAGACAACTTGCCATTAGATCAAAAGAGCAACAGATCTTGGTTTATCTTTTTTGTACCATATTTCTTAAGTCCAAAAGTTCTAACAAACAGTTTGTGAGAGTTTCCATCTGGATGGAAACATAATTAACAAGTAGTCTGAGTAAGAAGAGTTTCTGTCAAGATTCTGTGAATGGCTTCTTCACCCTTTGATTACTGCAATGGGCCTCAGTTTAATTGCTTTCTTGCTGATGCCAGCTGCATGGCAGGTGTTAACCACATCTGTCACATTCTTATAAGATTCAGGAGCCTAGGAAAAAGGAGATAAAAAAAGGAAATAAGGTGTTAAGAGAAAATAATTTATCCCAAATCAAAAAGGAAAAAAAGGGAACCCCTTCCAGACAGAAATTAGGGCATTTAATTTGGTCAATTCTGATCAATTGTATTTTTTTTTCTTCTGATAATAGATGCTAATACTTTGCTGTGAAAAGAAATGCATTCCAGAAATAAAATTGTCCAAAGAAAGATTAAAAGAACTCTCACTTCTTCCATGACTAGTTTGGGAGATGCAACACGGATCGCAATCCCCATATCTGCCAACTTGTCCAACACATCCTGGAAATCCAAGTTACGTCGTGATTTGGCACGGGACAATGCACGGCCCTGTAGGATAATGTATTTCTTTAAGTACCAGTCTTCAATTGAAGCAAACATTAGCAACATGAATGAAGAAAACAGTTACATATGGCCTTGACCGTATATTAGAATAAATAGTACAGATTCTTAAGATTCCTGAATTTGTTAAAAGTTTTCTAATACAAATATACATATATAAGGACAGTTGCTCAGATGTGCTCCACCTTGGACCTTGACTAGCCTGGTCCAACCAAGATGCCTAGGACTCAAGTCTTGTGGTGTATTATGAGTTTGAGTCAGTAAATCTTGAGGAAGTGGACAGGATCTCAATGTGGTTACTTTCAGGCACCAGATTGATGAATCCTAATTAAAACAGTCAGGAAGTTGATTTGTAATCAAGTCTCTCTACATCCTCATTCGATCCCTCAACAGTTATGGATTTATGATGCCATTCCTCTTGCCAGAATAATTGAAGCTTTATTTTGGGTAGCATATAATCCAAATGTACACAAGTATGAAGCAAAAAGCCCTACTCACTGCTCCATGGCAGGTGGTTCCAAAGGTTTCAGTCATGCCTTGTTCAGTACCAGTAAGGACGTAACTGCAAGTTCCCATTGTTCCGCCGATCAACACTGGCTGGCCGGTCAGCTGGAGACACACATATAATCAGTATTAGTTATGCTGGAATGGGTGCAAATTATTATCAACCAATAAAAATAAATGTTGATGAAATACAGTTGATTGATTTTATATATATATATATATATATATATATATATATATATATATATATGTATATGTATATGTATATGTATATGTATGTATGTATATATGTATATGTGTATGTGTATGTGTATATATATATATATAAAACGTTGCTACAACTGTAACGTTGCTACAACTTTAAAAGCACAACTACAATGACATGGGAAAATACCCGAACAAAGCTGAATACCATACATGTAAGTACCCGCGAAAACTTAAGAAAACACACACACACACACACACATATGTTTTCTTAAGTTTTTGCGGGTACTTACATGCATGGTATTCAGCTTTGTATTTTCCCAGGTCATTATAGTTGTGCTTTTAAAGTTGTAGCAATGTTTCAGCAGAATCTCATCTGCCATCATCAGGCTTCTGTATAGTCACAGATGAACACAATACACAATACACAATCAGAAGCCTGATGATGGCAGATGAGATTCCGTGAAAACTAATACACACACACACACACACACACACACACACAGGTCTAGGTGTGTTCGGGTCTTTTCCTGTGTAAGATTAAGACTATCTTGGCGACATTTCGGCGAGATGCAAAGGGAAATTACATTTCGTGAATGCTAACATGAGAGAAATTTCAGAAGTTCCTACTTGGTAATCCACAGCTATAAGAGGGTGGTGAGGAGGGAATGCTCTGGTTGATCCTTTCCTATGCACCAACAAGGTCCGTTCTTTTCCATCTACCACATGCTGTTCTACTTTTGCAATGTTGTGAGACACATCGTAGATTACATGCATGTCCAGATCATCGGGGGTGGTGTTGAAGACTTTAGCAAATGCCTAGAAAACGATACAGGTACATAAGGTAGTTCTAATAATATGTTATGCAGGATTGGTATATATGAGAAGGGGGACTAGAGCTGAAATTGTTTACAGAAACTGGAATCTTGTTACAATTTTCTGCAATTCTTTCTCTAACAATCAGTTTATCTCAAGTTTCCTGCATTCTAAGAACAGATTTTAACAGCAAATCTTGTGTTACTCTACTTGAGAGACATTCTCTAAACTGTTAGACAATTATATTGGTAAAATGCACTTCCAAACTATGGTTGGAATGAAGCATATAGTTCAGCGGAAGCATTAACAAAACCTTTTCTGAATGTTTCCTTGATGCTCAAGATTGCAAAATCCTTTGATTTGAAAAACAGGTCTGACTTTTTTCAAAGCATAAAATGGCCATTATTTATGGCAAATCTATTCATATGCACTGTGAACAAACATTTGGAACACTGCTCCTCCCATGCACAAAATAAGCATGATTTACACCTAAAATCTTAATGAACTAATGTGAATTGGCTTTCAACCCTAAAGATCTAGACAATATGACCCAAATTTAGGGCAACTCAATGTTGGAGAAAAGGGCTATAATTAAATAAAAGCTCAGCTGACACTTAATGTTTAGAAACAGAAGCCCAATGTATTCATACCACAGGTAGATCCAGTCTGGTAGCCCATATATTGGAAACTGAATCTCAAATTCACCTTTTAAATAAATTTAGTACTTCTGAAATTGTTAGTCTGGTGTCATAAAGCAGAATGCAACTGAGTTTGCACAGATATACAAGTCGCACCAGCCCCAATTGGGACTAGAAACATGGTTGCTAAGCAATGAATCAATAGAGACTTATGATTTTACTTTTACCTTCTGAGTTCCGCTTGACACAAGTCAATTAAGCAGCACACAAATGGTAATGACTGCAGGATGCTGCAACAGTTGTAAATGTGTACCAGTTGCAAAGCACCAAATGCTATGACGATCGTAAATATAAGAATTGATCGCAAAGCTATTTTTGGCACCATTGTAACTTTGAATGATCACTAAATAAGGCAGTCAGTAAGTAAGGACTACCTGTATTTCTTTCAAGATAGACATATCACAGACCAACGTCACTAATCTATGCTTTTTCTGGGACTGAAGCCCATGTCAACCACCATCAAAACATATCTGGAGAACATCAGGTTGGGAAGAATATTTTAGCCAGAGCTGAATTTCTCTATCCTAGGCAGTTATACCTGATTAGGTCTCATTTTTAAAGAGACAGAAGTGATGAGCTACCTTACCTGTCTAGTAAGAAAAGTCATGGAGGAACGATTGACCCATGCATAGTTTCCAGCTGCTGCCATCCCTTTCAAATAATCTTGGCCTTCCTGAGAAGCTATTCTGGCACATGCCAATTGACGGTCATTCACTATGATCTTGTCTCGTTTCATTGCTTTTTCCATAGCTACTAAGGCATCTGTAAAAATATGACCAAATAAATTCAGAAATAGTGATTCTGACCAGCAGGCCTAGAATGTAAAATATAGTTTTAGGTTCCATATATATTGCATAAAGATGGTGTGTTTTTTCCACATACAGTTTGTGCCATAGAAACTAGCTCTAATATTACGCTGGATATTTAATTTCAATAACACAAAAGGGCATTAGCCACATACCTGTAGCTACTTGGTGGCCAAGGCCTCTGCTCCCACTGTGGATCATCACACATATTTGTCCCTTATGGTCTATACCCATCTTTCGGGCAGCATATTCATTATAAATGTCATCCACCACCTGTATCTCAGCATAGTGGTTTCCTGCTCCCAAAGTCCCCAGCTGTTAAACAGAATAGGAGAACTTAGCTTTTCCCAACACGAAAAATGAAAGATTTGCGCTATTTATTAGAAACTCTGGAAAATTAAAGCAATCTTACATCCCTTCGTCTTATTAATAGAAGGAGATTACTTTCACATTCCAGATATTAATGGGAAAAGATTCTCTTTATTTTCTGAACAGTTAAGCTCCTTTTAAAATGTATGTTTCCTAAAGACTAAAATCAAAACATTAGATCAGATCAGATGTAAATTTTAAAAAAATCAGTTAATACTGAATCACCAAATCAAACAAAAATAAAAGACAATATTTAAGGCAAATCAAACAAAATCAAACAAAAATAAAAGACAATATTTAAGGCTAATCAATCAAAAGGTGAAATTTCATTACAACAAAGTGAAGTCCTTAATCAGTGCAAGAGCCAGTTAGATGCTAGACTAGGACTGCAGAGAACCAGGTCTAACTCCACCCTCAGCCATGAAAACCAAAGGTGGATGAGTTCTCTTTTGAACCATGACATCAGTTAATCAAATTTCTGGATATTGTTCTGTTGTGCTTCAATATTATTAAAATCAACCTGGTTAAATTAAAATTAAATTAATTAAATTAAAATCAGCAATGATAACCCAAAATTATATCTACAGTCCGATTACCTGAGGTAAACCTCTTTTCTTAGCTCTTGCCGACACTTTATTTGGATCTGCCTGCAACATCCTCCCATATTCTTCACAGTGCTCTTTATCTTCAGCCCAGGCATAGCCCTCTCGTAAGGACCAGTCTACCCCCATCTCTAAAGCTTCCTCCAGGTCCCTGAGAATGAAAGACACTCCAATTAGGAGACCACAAACAAATACAAACTGAAAGTTACCACAGACTCACTCCTACATCTTAGTTCACAATTATCACATTACTCAAAGTGTAAATACTCCCCAGGTTCCACTGCTCAAGTGTTGTCATCTAGTGAAAAGTAGAAAGCATCCCTTTTCTATAAAAAGCCCTGCCCTGTGGAACTACCTTTCCCTTGGGATCTGGCAGCTGCACCGCCCCAACTTTAGCTTTCCCAAAAGCTGAAAAGGGCTGGCTTTTCTCCCACATGGGACAGGGTAAAGTTGAAGCCTCAGGATTGCATTGATGCACTGATATGATGGATTAGGTGCTTAATATTTTGTTTTTTTTTTGTTTTTGCTTTATCATTGTGACCAACCCAGAATTGTGTTCTGTAAGGTGGGTGGCCATGTAAATCTTTTAAATCAAGCTTTGATTAGCAAACTTTTGCAATTAGAACATAGACAACTATGTAAAATATACTTTCAAACAATTGAGGTTCATTTTCATTTCCTTCTATAAAGTAATAGTGACTAAATTCAGAGGTATCATTCTCACATTGCAAAAAAGAAGAAGAAGAAGAAGAAGAAGCTAGATAGGTTGGAAAGTTTCCTTTCTCCTCACCTTACAGGGGCAAAAGGACTGCAATGCAGCAAATGTTTAAAGATTTGGAAAGCATAGGACCAGCTCTAGAGAAGATAATGAACTTCGAGGAAAAACAACAGGGAAGTGTCAATTTAAACATGGCATGTTTGGGTGGCATCAGACTGGGCTGTTCTAATTGGTCCCAGTCGCCAACTATATTTTTTTAAAAAGGTCCCCTGATGTCTTCCTATGTCAGGCCGGCCCCAACTCAGATATTTAGGAAAGAAAGACCCTTGACTCCATCTGGTTGAAGTGATAGGTTCTTATGCTAAAGTTAATGGTTGCAGTGAAAGTTAAGACTAGATCTGAATATTCCCATGCAAAGGTTACACTTTTTATCTTTGTTTGGCTGCCCCGCCCCCTTTGACCATCGGTGTCCAATAGCATGCTGTTTAGATATTTTGGGAACCGCTTGGTTGTTTTGCACCATTTGATGCAATTTCACATTCTGTTCCCAAACCAGGTGTCCTTGGTGGCTGGTTTACTTTGGCTTGGCACGTCTGGTTTCTGTCAAGGCTCTCTCGCCCTCCCATTGTTTTATCTTCACATTCCCATGTCTTTTCCCCTCACTCTCCTTGAATTTTATGGAAGGATGCCAGCAAAGCGTAGAAGCTGAAGAGGGCAGATCTGACATCCTATGAGAGTTAGCTCAGAGATGTTTAGGAGTCTAATGCCCAGATATCACTGTCTTACAGATTTTAACCCATTTCCATGCTGATGCCCTCGAACCAGCTGACCACTGCATACATACTAAGGAGTCACTCTGACAATTAAGAAGGCTGAGAAATATATTGTGGCAATCAGTTATAATCCCAAATCTTTCCATGATGCCCCAAAATATTTTAGGACTAAAAATCGTGGTTCTTAAATGAGTAAAATTATTAGCATCCTAACAAGAACGAGTGGTAGGTTGAAACATAGAGCCTACTAGTACATATTATCACCAAACTACAAGGTGAGTTTGCACTAAGACAACTTTTATGTATCTGGATGCCCTCCAGATTCATAAACATAATTCCCGGTTAAAACAGAATTATGGAAATAAAAGTCCTCTAGATATATGATGATTAACTTTAGCAAAGCTTTCAAACAGCTATGTAGCAATAACTGGAAAACATTTTGGCATTTTTACATGTTTGCTACTAACAGATTTGCAAGTTATTTCATTTTCCTTCTGCCACTTTTCCCTTCAAAAATGAAGCAATAATGCAGACATTCGAGAAAAAAAATAACTCTTACTTGGCATTCATGGGGATGACACCCTTGGATCCCACCCCTACAGGAATGTGGTCAAACATGGATTGTGCAAGCTGCTCCTTCACTGGCTGGACATCACACTCATCAAGGTTGGTCCGCAGCAATCGAACACCACAGTTAATGTCAAACCCTACACCTCCTGTGTGAGTAACCAAAACATACCTTTTAAAATTTAGCTCCAGAAATCATTTTGTGCAGTTGCTAATATTATGAACTCAAAATACTCAATTATTCAATCAGAATATGAACTCAGAAAACTCAGAACTCATCATTGCAATCAACTGCATTTTTGTCACAGCTATAATTAATTACATTCAGTAAACTTTATATAGTTCGGTATTCTGATAAAGAAATATATGAAGCAGTATATACAAGTCTAAGTGCTATATTTGTATTACATAGAAACAACTGAGCCTTGATGGCACAATAGTTAAAGTGCAGCACTGCAGGCTACTTCTGTTGACTGTCGGCTGCCTGTAATTTGGCAGTTCAAATCCCACCAGGCTCAAGGTTGACTCAGCCTTCCATCCTTTCGAGGAGGGTAAAATGGGGACCCAAAATTGTTGGGGGCAACATGTGACTCTGTAAACTGCTTAGAGAGGGCTGTAAAGCACTATGAAGCGGTATGTAAGTCTAAGTGCTATTGCTAGTGCTATGGAAAGAACAGGACTACTTTGCACTAATTTCAGGGTAAACATACTGAAATGTTACACTTCGGCATAGGTCATCCACATAATCACACTTCATGACAGTTATTTCAGCTTAACATAGAACTTTGCAATACAAGTACTTGTTATTTTAGGATAAATCTAATAAATAGACTTTGTCCTAAAAAAAAAAAATCAATGAGAGTATTTTGCTTTGGCCAGCATATGTATAGTGCAAAAATCTCCACCTGTTTCTTCAAGTCAACCCAGAATAAAAATATGGCTTCTGCACTGTAAATTGTTTAGATAATTAAGTGTTTCTGGCCTTAGAACTAAAAACTGCCTAACTGTTGAAAATGTAACATACTACAGAACATATCACCAATCAACTGTTACTTACATAGAATGGTTAACATTGGTGGTTTCGGGTGCTCTTTCTGGCAGTTCCTGCTAGCTACCTCTCCCTGGTGTTTGCTGACTCTCATATTTCTCGTTGGGAGAGGGAGCTGATGAAGAAATTACACCTGCTAGGTTTTATGGGGGGTGCCCTGGGAGATTATGGCCTCAAGGATGCCCAATTTAGGGTAGTCCAATGGCTTGTGGACATTGACTTGCAATATCTACAAGCCAGAGCTAACAAAACTCGCTCCCCTCTGATCTTCAGCCAATTTAATAATTACGGACTGAGGATAGCTTCCTATTTTTACACTCTAACCATTCCCAAGTATAGAAGAGCTTTCTCCCTAGCTCGCTTTAATGTCTTGCCCTCAGCACTACTGGATGGGCGATTTAAGAGGCTCCCGATTAACGAGCGGCTATGCCCCTGTGACAGAGCTGAGATTGAAACTGTGGAGCATGTCCTTTTATATTGCCCTATGTATAATGCAGACAGATCTAAGTTACTGTCTCTCCTTGAAACAGACCCTTCTAGACCCAATGTTAGTAATTTGTTCTTATATTGTCTAGGGGATGGCTCCTCATATATCACTTCTTTGGTTTCCAAATTTTTTTTAAGAGCTTTAACCATCAGAGGAGAACACTGTAATTCCCCTTAGTCAAGTTTTTGGTGACTAATTGTTCATGACTAAGTTTTCCACGTCCTTCTTTTGTTGTACTTGTGTTTTGGTCTGTGACCGCAAATAAAGTATTATTATTATAAAGAATGGTTTAACAGTATCTCTGTACAGTTGCCCTTTGTATTGGAGCCTGATACATCTAACACATATTTGGAGATACCTAAAGGTTTTCTTTCCACATAGATACCAACTATAGATGTCCATACCTGGTGAAACTACTGCTTCTGGATCACTCATATCAAAGGCTGCCATATTGCCAATAGCAAAGCCATACCCTGAATGAACATCAGGAAGTCCAATAGATCGCTGAAATACAATTTTTGTATAAAAAGGGGAAAATAAAGGCAATCAATATCAGAATAAATATGAATGACATTCCTATGCTATGAAGTAATCCTAGGCCATAACATTCCCATTGCACAGCATCCAAAAGCAGAAGATTCAACATTTATATCAAGGGGTGTACCATATTCAAAATGACAAACTGCAAATAAATATCTCATTTCATTGAAAAAAATAATGGCAAATGTAAGCCCTCTACTTCCATCACACCCTTGAATATTTGAATTTATACATCAAACTTTTAGGATAGGAAAGGCTGACAGTATTCTTATTGTGGAGTCCTTTGTAATTCTGAACTTGGTTGTCTGCTTACCGATGTTTCATTATCCAGCTAGGTAACATCATCCATTCTTGCACTGATGATGGTACCTACTTGGATAATTAAATATCTGCAAGCAAACAAAGTTCAGAAGCATTAAAGCAGAGGTATCAACGAGGCCCGGGGACTGGATCCGGCCTGTGGGCTGATTTGATCTGGCCCTGGAAACATCAAATGACCGGTCTACAGTGCCTCTGCCAGTGAAAAGGGAGCTAGGGAGGGCTGTGTGTGACCCTCCTGAGCTCTGTTTTTGCTGGCAGAGGGTTACAGGAGGCCGAAAATGGAGCTCAGGAGTCTGTTTTTGCTGGCAGAGCGCTTGGGCTGCCATAGGCACCCCTGACACAAGTGACACTGAGCTGGGCACACCCACCCCAGCCCCCCAAGGTCAAGCACAACCCTAATGTGGCCCTCAATTAAATCAGGTTTGACACTTCTGCACTAAAGGCTTCACAGTTCAACCCTGAGCTACACGTATTCTTTTCTATTGGAAAACATTCTTATTTCTATTTGAAGCAATAGTTCTAACTATTCTTTATTACATAGAAGAATACTTTGTAAAGTCTTTGTATAATGGTTTTATTCTGGATTTAAAATAACAAGGACTCACATGAACAATACCAGGTAATGCAGCTACATTGCCAATTTGTTTCATGGCTGGAAGAAAGCCACCAACACCTAAAAAAAGGTGGAAACTAATTTCCTGTTTCATATGAAAATGTAACACAAAACCAACATTTTAAGGACAAAGAACAGGGCTATTCTCTTAACATTTCCTCAGAATTATGAATGATGAATTTAAGGCTTATTCCTAGATAAACATATAGAGGACTATAACTACAATCACAGGCATATTTCACATTCTAAGCCTATAGAAAATAAAAATATTATGAAACATGAGGTAGACTGGGCATAAAATATACTGTATCAATTCAAAGTTGGAATTTACAGGGTACATGTCTTTACATTTAAGCAAGCAGAACTAAAGAGCAAATGGTTATTTTCTCATGTCCAACCAATGATTCTTCATAAACCAAGGCCTTTTTAAAAAATATGTTTATCCGAGCAGCCTGTTGAGGATAAAAATAAGACTTACTATCAGTCTTCTAAATACTTTTAATTAACCACAACATATTTATGATAACTAAGCACAGTAGAAGCTCTATTGGATTTCTGGATGTATTTGTGGAATATGCGACAGACTTAAAGGAGACAAATATTGGAGGCATAAGGAAACAAGGAGATTTAGACAGGCAATTGAAAACTCACATACCTCCACCTCGGCATGCATTTCTTAGTTCTTCAAACATCAACTTCTCCAAAGGATCGTTCACATAAAACACACCCTCCACCTAGAGACAAAAAGAAGAAAATTAGAAAATGGACCACATATTCAGAAGTAAGAGTCACAATTTAAACAAATATTGGCGAGTAAGTAACTGTATCATGCAAAGCAGAATGCTTCCATAATTGTGGTTATTTTAAAAATACATTCCAGTAAAGATTTAGATTTGTTGAAAGAGCAGGGGTCCCCAGCTTCTGGACTGTGGACTGGTACTGGTACAAGCAGCGGGGGAGCGAGGAAAACTTCATCTGTGCATGCACAGGATCTAGGTTTTGCCTGAAACCATTCCCCCCGCCCATTGTGGTCTGTGGGAAAACTGTCTTCCACAAAACCTGTTTCTTGTGCCAGAGAAGATTGCTGGTTTAGGGACAGCTTCCTACTAAGGGGTCCTTGGTGCTCTCTGAACTTTTTTGTCTTGTAGACATTTCATTACCCAAACTAGGTAACTTCATCAGTGCTAGTAAGGAGTTCTGTTTGCTGTCAGTTTATATTCTAGTGTCTTGTTTGTCTGTGTGGGTGGAGGTCTTAAGGGATTTTTTTGGCTGTTTGCTGATGGCTCTTTGGCAGTTTCTTGACTAGGGTATCGTTTACTGTATTTCCCCATGTATAAGCCACCCCTTTTTTCCAAAATTTTCAAGCCCAAAAAGTAGGGGGGTGGCATATACAAAGCAGGTACACTTTTTATACGTGAAAAATGCATAAAATAATAAAGTAGGAATAAACTGGTTTTCCAGCAGTATGCTATACTTTTTTGTAAAAATTGTACGTGATGATACGATTACGAGTGTGAGTACGCAATAGAAATGCATACGCTAGGCATCGGCCTGAATGCTTCGTTCCTACTCTCGTTCCGATGCGTAGATTGCTAGCGTCGCCCGCACCGCTTTCGGCATCATGACCGAAGTTGTAGATCTAGACGTCGAATTTTGTTTCTTTGTAAATTTTCTTTCTTCATAACTTGTTTCTCTAATAAAATATTTTTTTCAAAACTTCACAGTCCAAAAATTGGGGGGGTGGCTTATACAAAGGGGGTGCTTATACATGGGGAAATACGGTACTTGATTGTTGGTCTAAAGTTTCCTAAATAACCACAAACGTCAATATTTTGAATCACGTAAATAACCAACTTTTTAAAAAAATACCAATAGCACAATTGGTACTCTGATTAGCTACATTTACAGATCAAATTTCTCTCCAACAGGAAACTGGCAATTCTAGATGCATTGCTTATAATGATAAATCGCCTTTCATCCTTTGAGCCAATATCGTTTGATTAATTATACAAAATAATAAAATGCAATCGTATGCACCGCCGTAGGTTAAAATCATATATAAACAATGTTTAACACGGTTAAAAACTGAGCAGAACCAAGCAAGTGGACCTTCGTCATTTTCATCTTTATCGCATTGGCAGAATGATCGCCCAAAGGAATGAAGGGCACTTGGGGCAGCTTTTAGCTATTCACTAAAATGCTTCAGAACGAAGTTTAGCGATGAAAAGCGCCTTTAAAGCAACTCACGTTCATGTTGGGCACAAATCCTTTCTTGATGCGCCAGCAGTTCTTATCCAGTTTATCCAAATATTGCAATTCATCGTTGTAGTTTCGACTCATGGCGAAAGCAAGAAAACGCTCCCAAGTAACTATAACAGAAAAACGTTTTTTTCCTCAGGTAATTCTCGGCAAAGCCCGGCCACGTTCACTTACGCCAGTACGGAGGCCGAGATGACTCCGCCCCAATTCTCTGCCAGACCAAGAGGAAACCTTACGGCGGCCGAAAAGGCTCCAGTACGGAGGCCGAGATGACTCCGCCCCAATTCTCTGCCAGACCGAGAGGAAATCTTATGGCGGCCGAAAAGGCTCCGTTTAGGATAACTAGAACAACGCTGCGAAAACTCGGGCGACCGCTGGACGGAAATAAAGGGACACCCGAAGCTCTGCGTCTTTGCTTCTGAGGTTTTGCTTCTGTAGTTTTGAAACAGAAGTCAAATAGCTCCTTTTGTCTGTCTGCCTGCCTGTCTCTGTCCCTCTCCCTCTTCCCATCTCTCTCTCTCTGTAGTTAGAAACAACTAAAAGTCGGTGTTTTTGCGTGCCGTTTTATATCAGATGAAACAAAAACGGACATGAGTGTGAAATGGGGAAAATGTGGGAATACACTTTTGAATAAGGAGAAACAGCCAAGTCACGACTCTAGGTGTACTTTCACTAAAAGGCGGCTTTCTATAATTATACATCAGTTGTTGGGGAATGGCATTTAACTCTATAAGATTTCATGGGATATGTAAACATGATAAAAGAGATTACTGTAATCCAGGAATTCATATGACGATGAATTGCCACGATACCCCATGTTTTGTTGCAATATAGTACACATTATTTTTAATAGGGGATGAATTTCAGCCATCAAAATATTTTCTGCATTTGTGGTAATTAAATGTTTCAATATAAAGCAGCTGCTCAGAAGCAAGGGTTTTCTGATTGATGCTCGTATACACAGCAGTGAAAACTATTTTAGAAGATGAGGCCTCCCTGTGTTCTGCTAGGCCTCCCTCTGCACCTCTTATAATCTCCAAATTTTGGTGTGAATGTGAATGAAAACATGAGATACCCTCATCAGCTCTCCTTTGATATTTGAAAATTGAGCTGCTGGGATCTGCAACACAAATCACTCTTTCATGAGCGTTATAAAGTTGGCTTAGAATTTTGGGATCTTTTTTTAAAAAAAACAGGAACATGTTTTCCCTTAAGGTAAAGTGTCCATTTTCATGCCATAATTCAAGAAAAAACAAAGGAAACTGAGCAGTTCTATTAAATAACATAATTAGTTTGTGTGTCAATTCCAAGGCATATTTTGAAAATGTGCAACATGCATCTTTGCTGATGTTGTGCTGTTTTAGTTCTGGTCCGCATCTGGTCCATGACCATCCAACTTTTCTGTATGTTGTGAATCCAGATGAAGGCAGACAGGATAGTCGTGCTGAGTTGAAACTGCAGCTCCCAAATTTAAAACCAGAATTTTCTGCTCATTTGGTGAATATCGTTGCAAAAGGCTACATGTAAGGGATGACCGACCCAATTTTATGACATGTGACCACATGAGTTGAGAAGGCGATTGTCAGAACTTTGGATCTGGATTGTAAATCCCCCTTTTCAACCATTCAACTTTGAATGGTTGCTAAGTAACCAGTTAGCCAAGGGCAGTATTCATTAAATACAAAAAAACAGATTTGAGGTTTGCCATAGCTTGTAGATTTGCAAAAGAAAGAAAAGAGAAAAAAGAAAAAAGAAAGAAAGAAAAAGAAAAAGTTGTGTATCTCTTTGCTGATATCCACATTTTTGCAGCCAAGTCTGGTCATTGTAGAGTTAACCATTATCAAAGATTTTTCTTACACAGAAATTAAATTCATTTATCATACTAAATTACATTGTGATTTCTTTTTAATCTAGTGTGTTGTAACCATATTAAAAACGTTGGCTTGTTTGAACCCAAGTAACAAATTCAATAAAATATTACATAATTTTACATGATTTTCTCCACTTCAAGAAGGAAGGAACATAAATAATGGTATTTCTAATACAAAGTTTCTAACAGCACTACAAAAAACTCAAATTCTTCAACTTTCCTAATTAAATTGTCATTTCACATAATATACTAGAATTAGAAATCTTTTGGCCATATATAACAGGGATAGGCAATATATAGGAGGAGGAAGGCTGGAGACTACATCTCAGCTTCTTGGCCTTCCAGAAGGCCACAAGAGGCTATCAAGTGTTATTGCGATGTCACTGAAAGGTGTGGGATTGGGAATTTGGGGGTAGGATTAAGGTAGACTTAGAAGCAGGAGTCTACTGTACTATCTGTGCACTTAATACCATTTTATCTCCTGGCTAAAATCATACTGGTTAATTTTGCCTCCAAAATGGAAAAGCTCCATTTTGGGGCACTGGGGAAACTCATTACCCACTCTTGATATATAGTATAGTTGTGACAGTGTTGGGTCAATATTTTCATCTTTAAATTGTTGCTATCTTAAACCAATGTGCTCTGGTGTTTCTGAACTTCTGGTTGAACTATTAAACATTTCATTCACCTATTCGCTCACTCACAAATTCATATTGGCTCTTATGCATTTTATGCATGTATAATAAAACAAAAAGTCAACGTTTGCCTGGAGGTCAAGATCTTCCTTGTTATCGTAGACTTTGAATATCAGTAGAAATCAGCAAGAAACCCTAAGAAGACATGCAAAAACATATTTTATTGCAGGTTTATAACAGCTTGATTATTAGAAATCTCACTTCTCACTCTTTTGTGAATTGAATTCTAGAAATAAGTAGCTTATGATTGACAAAAAGAAATAAAAATTCATGTCATTTGTATTATGGAGTAACTGTGGGTGAGTTGGGCAGCTGTAAACATTTGATAAATAATATAACTATTTTAGTTACAGAAGTACACATTTGTGGATATGTCAGGGGTGGGTTTCTACCGGTTCTGGCCAGCTCTGTAGAACTGGTAGCTCTGAAGAGCAGCAGACATAGAACCGGTTCTATATCTGCGGATGTTTTTGCCCACCCGCCCACCTGGGCTCTTACCTGACCTTTATTTCCTGATTATTTCAACTTCAGCTGCCAAATGAGGCACAGCTGCAGTTAAAAAAGCAGGAAAAAGGGGCTTTTTGAAAGGCTGCTTCTCTGCACGCAGCATGCTGATGACGATTTACAGGTGCGTCAGCGCAGCATGCAGGGAAGCATATCACTGAACCTCGTAAATCATCGAACCGGTAGTTAACCCTGTCGGATCCCACCTCTGGGATATGTGTTATACAATATGTATGTTCGTTCATAAAGGAGGTCTGAATAGGACATACAGAAAACTCATTTATTTATTTATATCTCAAATTTGGAGCCTACCTATTTCCTTCATAGAGCAACTCACTGTATTGGAAGCACATGACAACTTTCTGACAAATATCATCTAATCAAAATACATCATCCTAATCATCTTTTATTTTTCACCCTGAGGGTATAAGATAAGAATAGACATTAGCAAATCTTACCTCATAAATTCTAATACTGGGCTTCATAAGAATTATTTGGTCCAAGACAGGCAGAGGAAATCCATCCTTTAGTTTAACTTAAAACAGAAAAAAGAGAAAAATAAAAAGATTCAGAGTAGTTACGACTAGAATAGGTTTTGCAATTGCACATGTTCCTTAATCTTACAGTTGAATATGTTGTGTATTATTGCTTGAATATGACCATTTTAACATTTGTTTTATTTTTTATTCTGCAGAAAATAGTTTCTAATTTCTTAAAGAAATTTAATATTATAGCTCATTTTAAAGACAGAAAAGGCTTTGAGATACACATTTTTGCAGTTGTTATTCTGTGTTTGGATTCCACTGACTTTGATTGCAAATACAGCATGGACAATTGTAGTGATAGGTAGTATAGTACTGATCACATGAATGGAATTGATATAAAACTGAGTAACTGTTATACAGGGATAAAAACCTAAGCTATATAACTGATACATTTTAACCATCAGTCTTAGAAGTTCTTGATTACCCCTCCACCCTGGTGTTGGATTTTAACTTTCTTTATGGCCGTGCTGGCTATACTTTACAGGATTATTTTCAAGTCTTTAGCACTTTAGAAGTTGGCTTAAAAACAAAAGTTGTTAAAGAAAGAGAAATTGAGAAGAAGAAAGATGAAGCTGCACTTACAATTGGCTGCTGGAATTATTCCAATTCGTAAAATGTAAGACATGAAATTATCCAGAAGTGAGGCCTGCAATGTAAAACAAAGGTTGACTTTTCTCCAGGAAGAGAACTGGGATGACAGTGTTTAAACAGGATTATTTATTTTTATCAGTATATCAATGGGTGATATATTCTACCAGCAAAGTGACCTGATGTTATCTACAGAAGGCAACTTACTAAGTTTCCTAATAATTTTTAATTATTTAATCCGCAAATTATTTGTTTGCAATTTTTGCAGCCCTTCTCTAAATCCTATACAATATTATATTTGCACATTATTTTATTTGCATATTTTTATTTAATAAGATTTCTCATAAACCTGGTTCTACTATTTGTTGCAATAATTTACACATTACTGAAATAAATTATCTTGAAAATGAAGCATCAATTTCTTATGGAGGAAAATTCAAACTCCTAGCCTGAAGCATGCTGCTGAATCTCAAGAGTTGTATAAAATGTCTCTATGTGACTGTGTATGTGTGTGCCTGTGTCAGAATGACCCTAAAGATGCAGTATGCTACAAACAGTCCAGTGAAGAGTGAATATACTCAATAATAATACAACAATACTAACTACCTATAGAAAGATAGAAAACAGAAAACTATGAAGAGGTACTCAATGCAGAATCTAAGAATGGTAATTGAGTGGTAGAATTCCCATCAGTCTTTTTTCTCACAAATTCCTTTTTCATTTTTTAGATATAAAACACTATATAGAGAAATAGTTCTCAAGAAAATAATAGAAAAAGGGGGCAATCGAACCGAAATTTTATTGGAAAGAAAAGTTAAAATTAAAGGAAAAGAAAAAAATAGGATCAATCATTAGGACAGCATATTTATAGAATTTAATAGTTCTATGAGGAAAATTTAAAAGGTAAAGGAATATACTTTGTAAGCAATTCAGTTCTATCTGCTACAAGTTGCACCTGCTAATTTTTACGAGAGGCTGAAAGTTACCTCAAAGAATCC